GTGTGTGTGTGTGTGTGTGTGTGTGTGTGTGTGTGTGTGTGTGAGCGTGAGTGTGTCGTCGTATGCTTTTGGAGGTCGGTCAATGTTATCACTGTGGGGAGCACAGAGGCCCGTGCAACCTCTCGCCCCAGCATTAGCACCTGTCACTGGCCTGCAGCGGACTGGAGATTGACCAGGCCCTAGGATGTGCATGTGCACACACACAACCACACACACACAGTAGTCTGCAGTCAGCGGTCTGCTCCCTGATAGCGACTGAGCCAGGCAGATCAAAGGTTCTGACTGCGGTAGCTTTTCTGGATGATAAGAGTTTGGCAGAAGGTTAGGAAGAGCTTTAGGTTTATCAGAGGCACACTTTGAACTATGTGCAGATTTGAAGGCAGACACTGATAGTTTTAGACTCAAACTACCAATGACAGCTTTATTGTTCAGCACTTATAAATGTGTTTGAGGGGGGGGRRRRAACCTACCAAACTTCAAACGTACTCTGTTTAACAGATACTTTTTCAAATAAACTTTACATCCCTCTCTGTTCCTGTTCTAAACCAAACAGAATCAGTGTTCTGACTGCAGTGAGGGTTCTCCATGTTCAAAAGAATAGCCTATATGCCACGGTCATTAATGACGAATTTCCGGTAAAATTTTTGCCACGCTTCTCCCTTCCACTTCCTGGTTACTGCCTTTGTTTTTAGTGTAAGCTCCTAGTACTAGTCCGTGAAAAAGTCACAAAAGTTAAAGCATCTGTGATCTACTGGTAAAAACATGAGTTCTGTTGTGTGTTGTGTCCACTAAGCAGCAGGTACAATAGAGTAGTTCGTTTTTATCCATTTTCCTCTTGATGAGGAGGTGACAGCTGTGGATCATAGCATTACAGGGAAAACTTATCTATAAAAGCTCACGCTTGTGTTTGTAATCAGCATTTCTAACCTGAGGATATTCAAGAGCCAGCATCAGAAATGAGAAAACGGAGGTTACAAAAGGGAAATGTACATTTATCCGCTTTAAATGCCAAGACGAGAGAGGAAAGACTTCCTCCAGAGGACAGCTAGCAGGAAGCTAACACAGCAGCCGGTACAGGTAGGTGTATGTGTGTGCGCGTTTGTGTTACACAGAGTATGAAATGTTTTCAGGCAACTTTGTCATGAGTTTTATGCAAAAGTAAAAACTTGTTAGAATTACAGCGTAAACAAAACACGCAAAAAAAGGTTAAATTCTGGAACCATAAACACGAACGTCTTTCCTTTGTTTTTATGGCTTTAATCCACTTTGGAGTGATTTTTTCCCACTTGGCTGGACCTGTACGTCTCCTGTGTTAATGTTGGTACATGTAATATGATAATTCTGTACTGTGGAGATCATTAAGAGTCGTTGTCGGRTGAAAAAATCTTTTGCTAACACTGTGTTGACCACGAACCGGAAGTGATTGGAGTGGCACCAAGTGCTGGACCGGATGTCCGTGGCATATAGGCTGTTTCAGCACATCAGACATGACAATTCACTTCCTGTCTTGTTGGAAGGCAGAGTCCAACCAGTCTTACTTTTCCTTCAAATACACAACATTCATTGTATTCACAGTTTCCAGGTGGTTTTACAAACCTACAATACAGGGTTTGACAAGTTTTTTTTTTTACCTGCCCTGTCTGGCATGTGACCCCAAATGCTGCCTTCCCAACATGAAAAGTTACCTGTCCAATACAAAAAACGTTCAAAATTTGATAAAATATAAGAAAAACGTACTGCACTAAAACACGTACTAAAAATTTTTTTTGAACAGAGACAATGATCAACTTCAGAAACATTACTAATTTTTATTAAAATGATGATTAAAATTAAAATTGCAGAACATGAAAAAGTCAGCAATTTAATTTGCATTAGCTGAATCGTATATGGCCTGTCTCATACCTAAAATAACATATCTTGAATAACCATGTCAAGATATCATGAACTGGAGCCTCCATAAAACCTAATGTTGAAGTTTCACTTTATTCATTTCATTTGTAACACAAAAT